GCCTCCCAAGTAGCTGGGACCACAGGCGCCCGCCACAACGCCCGGCCATTTTTTGGTTGCAGCCATCATTGTTGTTTGGCGAGCCTGGGCTGGGGATTCGAACCCACCAACTTAGGTGTATGTGGCTGGCGCCTTAGCCGCTTGAGCCACAGGCACTGAGCCGGAAATTGCTTTATTGAAGAGGAAAAGGGGAGAGCAGTGTGCACAGAGGGGGACCCAAGCAGGTTGCCAAAGAAAACTAAATGTTCAGGGGATTACATAAGTTGTCTAACTGTATCTATCTTTGTGTGTAAGGAAGTGGGACCTGCTTTCTATTGTGTCTTAATTTCTGTTTCTTTGTAACTTAACTTCTGGCCCAGGTGCCTAAATATTAACTTAAAACTTAATCTGCCATATGTCAGATTATACGTCCATATGCCGGGACTTCTACAAAAGACTGGTCACAAGCATCCTTGGTTGTTTATGACTTTCTATAGAATGCCTGGATGTGGTTCAGAGCACATGTGCTCTTGCCGTCTGTTATGTGGGCTGCACAGGGCAGCATGTTCCTTTAACCCCAGCTGCCCCAGTAACTTCCCTATGTAGGTCACAAACCTACAGAACTTATCTTGTTTGTAACCCAGGGACTGCCTGTATATTTTAAGCTCTTGTCACTACAGAGTCCCAGACTTTTGAGTTTGAATAGTATCTACCACTTAAGGGTTTACTACGTGCCAGTTACTGGGAGCAGTTCTTTGCACATAGTACTTCATTTAATGCTTACAATGAAACTACTGTTCCAGGGCGCCAACTAGCTGGGTAAAGGTCATACAACTAATAAAGTGGTACAGCTAAGATTCCAACTCGCCTCAAACTGACATCAAATGTCCATGTTCTAGGGTGGCGCCTGTGGCTCAAAGGAGTAGGGCACCAGCCCCATATGCCGTAGGTGGTGGGTTCAAACCCAGCCCTGGCCAAAAACTGCAAATAAAAAATAAAAATAAGTCTGTGTTCTTACTATTCTGCTACAGCGCAATACCAGAGGTTTTTGTAGCTTAGGAAGCCCTTAGAGAACACCAAATTTATAGTGGAGAAATCAAATTAGCAGACGGGAAGGGACTTGTTCAAGGTCACAGATCATGTAGTGAAGGATAGAACAGGACCTGTCTATCCTGTATACACAGTACTGAGGCATCACCCGGTGTCTTTCTTTTGGTATTAGATGCGGACCTCTCTGACATCCCTACACTCCCTCAGGAGTCTCTCTCAGGTAGCTTGGAATCCCTGACCCAGGAGGAGCCCCTCAAAGAGGCCAGCACTGAGAGGCTGATCCAGTCCATCCAGGAGGTTTTTAATGGTGAGCTAAAGGTATGCACAGGCAATCTATGAGTTTTTTTAGCTCATTCCTCCATTTTAACAAATATATTAAACATATATTGTTCACTATACAAATAATTTTATATTATAGGTTATAACATTTATGATTGTTTTATATTTGTAAAAAATATATTTTATATATTTATAAATTATATATAAAATAATAAAATTCATGTAAAAGCAAAGAAAAACATAATAAAAATTAAAAGTTAGGCTTGGCGCCTGTAGCACAGTAGTTATAGCACCAGCCACATATACCCAGGCTGGCAGGTTCAAACCCAGCCCACACCTGCTAAACAACAATGACAACTGCAACAACAATAACAACAACAATAACACAAAATAGCTGGGTGTTGTGGCAGGCACCTGTAGTCCCAGCTACTTGGGAAGCTAAGGCAAAAGAATCTCTTAAGCCCAAGAGTTTGAGGTTGCTATGAGCTGTGAAGCATAGCACTCTACCAAAGGTGACATAGTGAGACTGTGTTAAAAAAAAAAAAATTAAGTTAATCTTCTTAGTACTACTCTTCTGAGATAACTATTGTTTTGTTTTGTTTTTTTTTTTTTTTTGAGACAGAGCCTCAAGCTGTCCCCCTGGGTAGAGTGCCGTGGCATTACAGCTCACAGCAACCTCCAACTCCTGGGCTCAAGCGAGTCTCCTGCTTCCGCCTCCCAAGTAGCTGGGACCACAGGCGCCCGCCACAACGCCTGGCTATTTTTTGGTTGCAGCCATCATTGTTGTTTGGCGGGTCCGGGCTGGGGATTCGAACCCGCCACCTTAGGTGTACGTGGCTGGCGCCTTAGCCAGTTGAGCTATAGGCACTGAGCCGAGATAACTATTGTTAATGATTTGGTCTATAAATTCTTAGGCTTTTTTTCTCTGTCCATTATAGGGAAAAACCATCATATTTGGTGGGAGAAAAAATTTTCTAGGTCAGTGACTATGGATCCATATTATTCTACTTAATAGCTGCACAGTAGCCCACTGTTTAAGTGAGTCATTCATTCATGCATGTATTCAGTGAGAGCATGTAACAGAAGAACTTATCTTTTTTTTTTTTTGAGACAGTCTCATTTTGTCACCCTCAGTTGAATGATGTCACGTCATAGCTCATGGCAACCTCAAACTCTTGGGCTCAAGCAATTCTCTTGCCTCAGCCTCTGAGTAGCTGGCTCTATATGCACCCACCATAACATCTGACTATTTTTAGAGACAGGCTCTCACTCTTGCTCAAGTTAGTCTCAAACCTGTGAGCTCAGGCAATCCACATGCCTAGGCTTCCTGGAGTGCTAGGATTACAGGCGTGAGCCACCATGCCTGGCCAGAAGAACTTATCTTAACCTGGAGGTAAGGGAAGGCATCTCTGAGGAAGTAACCCTTAAGATTAGATCTGAGAAATGAATAGGAAAAATCAGAAGTTAGAATTAGGGTTCGTTAGTGTTCCAGAAATAGGAAAAGGTATGCTTAACAACCTTGTACAGAAAGGAGAATATCATATTTGAGGAACTTAAGACCAGTATGCTCAAATCATGGTGGTGGAAGGGAAGGGTGGCACCAGGTGAGGCTGAAGAGATGGAGATAGACCATGCTGGGCCTTGGCAACCAGGATAAAAACTTTGATCTTTAGTCCTAAGAACAATAAAAAAAATAAAGAATATATAAGGAAATGAATATCATAACATGCCATTATTAGCTATTTAGTTTCTTTCTAGTTTTCTTTTTGTTGTTGTTGTTGTTGTTGTTATAGTTTTTTGACAAATGTTCTTGTATATCATCTATTGTGTACCCCTCAGATGATTGCTCTAGCGTAAATTCCCAGACATGCCATTGCTGGATAAAAAGGTATACACTTTTGTTAGACTTTTAATAGGTACTATTAAATTTATGCCCACAAATGTTAAGCCTGTTTATACTCTCACCAGCAAAATATATAATGTTAAATGCTAGTTGCTTACAACTGTCCAAAATTAGTATTATTTTTGTTTATAATCGTTATCAGTCTAATTGATGAAAAAGTGAATCCATTCATTTTACTTCTGTATCTTAACATCTCTCATCCAACTGTGTAGTAGCCTACTTAGCATGAAGCTTCATGAGAAGCAAGAATCACAGTAAATTCTCTTTAGTTAGTATTCCCAGAGATTCCCCTTCTATATGGCTTTTAAATCCCAGGTAGCCAATGAGCAAATAAGGAATGAGCACCTGGCATTTATAAGGCTTGTGCTAGATACTGAGAGTTGGAGTGGTAAGATTAAAAAAGTCTATTCAACATGTAAACCAACTAGGGAACATCCATAACGTGGAATACTATTCAGCCATAAAAGGAATGAACTAGTGGTCCCTCTAACAACTTAGATGGATCTAGGAGGCATTATGCTGAGTGAAAGAAGTCAGTCCCACAAGGTTACATATGATATGATTCTAGTTAAGTGACATTCTCTAAAAGACAAAACTGTAGTAATGAAGAACAGATCAGTGATACCCAGGAATTAGGAATGGGGAAAAGGTATGATTCAAAGGGAATAGCACCTGGGAACTGTTCGGTATCTGGATTGTGGTGGTGATTTCATGCACGTTTGCGTGTATTACAGTGCACAAATCCACACACTGCCCCCCAAATCAATTTTACTGTAATATACTTAAAAAATCATAGTATCACTTTATACCCCATAAACATATACAATATAATTTGTCAATTTACATATTTTTAAAAAAACTGATCCTCCATTGGAGGAGAAGATGACAGAGACTTCTGGAATACTTGTAATGATCTGTCACTAAATACATAAGTATTTTTGGTTTGTGAAAATTCAACAAGCTATACATTTTCTTTATGTTGAATACCAAAAAAAGTAAGATACTTAAAGCCTGGATATTGTTGGTGTTCACTTTTTTATTCCTTTTTGAGATATTATGTCACCCTCGGTAGAGTGCTGTGGCATCACAGCTCACAGCAACCTCAAACTCTTTGGGCATAAGCGATTCTCTTGCCTCAACCTCTCGAGTAGCTGGGACAACAGGCGCCCACCATAACACCCAGCTATTTCTTTCTTTCTTTCTTTTTTTTTTTTTGATTGGAGTCCTCATTGTTATTTAGCAGACCTGGGTCAGGCTCAAACCCACCAGCCTCGGGATATGTGGCTGGCACCCCACTCACTGAACTATGGGCGCTGAGCCTGGTCTTCACTTTTGATTTGGACTATTCATTATACTTCATGTCAGCCAGGCTTTATTTGCATTTTTGTAACTAATGAAGGGCCTGGATTGCTGCAGTGAATTAAAACAAAACACCCCATTTCCTGCCTTGACCTGACTTGACAGGAAAATAGATGAATAAGAAGTTAATGATGTCAGAGTATCAACAAATACCTTGATACTCCTTGTTAACATAGTGGTTAGTAAACAAGAAATAAGTAAATAAAAAACAAACAAACAAAAAAACCCAAATGCCTTGATAGCAACTTATTCATGTGGTTTATAGATACACGTAGGAAGGGCACCTGACCCTAGTTCAGGAGAAATTGCATGATCCGTGTCTTAAAATATATACTGATTTTTGTCAGTAAGCAAGAAGAAGTATAGAAAAGTCCAAACGTGCAAAGCACAGAAGCAAGAAAGGGCAATCTAAAAGTTAATTTGACTGGAGCTCAGAATGGGCAAAAGCCCATTTAAAGTTAGTTGAGGTCATGTTGGGAAGGGCCTCACCCTCAATAGTTGTGCCGTTGAGGATAAGGAGTTACCTTATCAAGTTTGAATCTGGCAACAGGTGAGGACATGAACTGGACAGGGCAAAACTGGAGCAGAGAAAGCCATTGTCTGGTGGTTGTATAATCTCTATGAGAGAAAATAGGGCCTTCTTGCAGTGCATTGCTGTGTGCTTTCTGGAGAACTTGTACCAGCTTACATCATCTGTGTGCAGGAGAAAGGGACTGGAAGAAATTTTCTCAAGGTTGTGGAATTATGGGTGTCTTTTATTTTTTTTCTTGTACTTTATTTTTTCACAGTTTCTATGAAACTATAAAAGAGATATTGCTTTTATAATCAGAATAACAATAAAGAGATATTGCTTTATTATAATCAGAAAAAGAGAATATTAATACAAAAAGATTTTATTCTTCAAGTCAGAACTTACATTTTAATAGCAAACCTTAAAGACAAAATAATGAGTCTTTTTTTAAATTGGTTCAGACCATTTAATTTCTTTTTCTTAAATTTTATTTTTTTTTTATTAAATCATAGCTGTGTACATTAATACTATCATGGGGTACAGTGTGTTGTTTCTATATACAGTTTGAAATACTTTCATTGAACTGGTTAACATAGTCTTCCTGTCATTTTCTTAGTTATTGTATTAAGACATTTATATTTGGCTCGGAGCCTGTGGCTCAAGTGGCTAAGGCGCCAACCACCTACACCTAAGGTGGCAGGTTCGAATCCAGCCTGGACCCGCCAAACAACAATAATGGCTGCAACCAAAAAATAGCCGGGCGTTGTGGCGGGCGCCTGTGGTCCCAGCTACTTGGGAGGCTGAGGCAGGAGACTCACTTGAGCCCAGGAGTTGGAGGTTGCTGTGAGCAGAAGCCATAGCACTCTACCCAGGGGGACAGCTTGAGGCTCTGTCTCAAGTAAAAAAAAAAAAAAAAGACATTTATATTCTACATTTAGAAAGACTCACATGTACCCCTATAGGATAAACCATAGACGTGATCCCACCAATTGCCTTCCCTTCACCCATCCTCCCTTCTCCTCTCCCCTCCCTCTCCCCTTTACCCGTATTCTTAGGCTAAAATTGGGTTATAGCTTTCATGGATGGAACTGGAGAATATTCTTCTTAACAAAGTATCTCAAGAATGGAAGAAAAAGTATCCAATGTACTCAACCTTATTATGAAAATAATGAATCTTTAATGACATCAACAGGATTAGCAGTAACAGCCTCAGAGGCCACCTTTAGGAAGCTTAATCAGGCAGCACTACACAGGGCAGGTGGGGAGGAAAACAAAGACTAAAGATGGGGAGAGCCATCCTGGAGCACTTACTAATCTAGAGAGAAGGGAAATGAGGTTCCAACCAAGGGAGGGCCAATGGACAAGGAATTTCACTGAAATCCTCTGTAATTTATTTATTCCTTATAATAAGTGACTGAGATTGGATTGAAGGAGATGGCAGATGCTTAAAAACATTTCCAGAAACTTCTCAAAAGCCCTCTACAATTAATCAAATAAGATCATAGTATATAACTGTGTTTTTATCATTTTTCTACAAATTCAGGGTGAACTTGAAAAGCTGACATTCCTAAGATCTTTGTCCACTCTCAGCCGAACTTTATCTTACGATGAAACCACAGAGTCATTCATTCATAGCCACACAGCAAAGATTGTGCATATCCTAAATGTAAGTATTGGGATCTTACCACAAGTTATTGACCACACAAATTCAGTGACTTTGCCAACACATGTTTTAGTGGCTTCACCCATGTTATTAATTACCTTCAACTCTTCTTACATCACTATCTCCGCATGAGGAGAAATACTCAGGGGTACCCCACAAATATAATTACCCTTGAAAACCAATGAGTAGAAGAATGGAAAGGAGAGGAACAGGCTTTAAATTTCTCAACACGGCCAATGCTCCATTGTCATTAGTCAAGCAGTGCTTCTGAGACACCACTCAGACTGCTGATTCTCTGGAATCCGATGCCTGGGTTCAAGTGCCACCTCTGCCTTGAGCTGATTGACCTTGGGAAATTACTTGTCATTGCCTCAGTTTCTTCATCTGTAAAGTAAGAATAACTATCTCTACTTCGCAGAGCTATTGTGAGCTTTAAATAAGAAATGTAAGCCATGTAACATGGAACACATTATGCATTTAAGAAACATTGTATTAGCATTACTATTGTATTTTGTCCTATTTGTACTGACTCCAACCACGCTCTGCCACCAGGTCATCTATTCATTCCTTTATTAAAATGCCTGACAGTTCCAGGCACTATCTAGGGAATTGGGGCTACAAAGACAAAGAAGACATAATCCCTGTTCATTGCAGCCAAGAAAGTATAACCAAGTGTCACAGGGACTATTGGCAGAAACTTAGATGGATATCCTAGGGGCATAGAGGAGTGAGTCCCTGTCAAAGGGTCCAGAAGGCTTTACAAAGGAGGTGGGAGGTGATGCACTTAAGCTAATACTTAACTTCTTAATGCTTTAGTTTTCTCATCTGTGAAATGCCCCCTTCAGTTTCACTAAAGTTCTAAAATCTTGATTGTGAGATTTCTTATATACCCTAGCAATACAAGTATTTCTTTCTCATACCACAGATCCATAAGGCTGATTAGACTGATGATTAACTTTTAAAATGGAAGTCTAACCGCCCAACAGTTTTGTTAAGTGGTAGACATTACCAAGGATCTTCTGTATCTAGTACACGTTGGTGCTTTGATAAAGGTCATAAATTTTCTATAAACTTTAATCCTTGCCCTTCAAGAGTTTACAATTCAGGCAGGGCACAGTGGTTCATGCCTGTAATCCTAGCAGTCTGGAAAGCAAGAGCACAACCCCCATCTCTACTAAAAAAAGAATACCTAGCTGGGAGTGGTTGTGGGTGCCTATAGTCCCAGGCACTTGGGAGGCTGAGGCAAGATCATTTGAGCCTAAGAGTGTGAGGTTGCTATGAATTAGGCTGATGCCACAGCACTCTACCCAGGGCAATAGAGTGAGAATGTGTCTCAAAAACAAAGAGTTTACAATCCATTTGGAAGTGATCATACCTCAGTAAGTAAATAGGTTGAGAATCATGCCAAATAATCCAATAGAAAGAACAGAATGATATAATGCACATCTAAGAATGAATGCAAATTTCTATTAAATACTTGGGTATACTCCTTAGAAGAACAACTGTAGGGAGCCATAAAACTCAGCCAAAGTGGCATGTTCTGAAAGTTCCACTTCCACTGACCGCAATGAGTTGCCACATGGTTCCACCAGCCAGCTCAGAAGATCCACAGATGCAAATCTCAGCAGAAGCACACTGAACTGCCCCCTGCTTTGCGTTTGGATCTGTCCAACCACTAGTGAAATGCCCACATTAAATATTAAAGTGGTGTGCTGGCAGAGGATTCAGTCTAGAAGTTAAGGGTAGCCAGTGTCCATGAGAAATTACATGGCTCACTGCCACACTTTACAAGTCCACAAACTCCCTGCAGGCCATAAGGAATCCACAAGGAGGAAAAAGACAGGGTCATTATAGAGAAGTAAAATTTTAAGGCATTTGTCAGTCTTCTCGTGATCCTCACAAGTGCATGGCTCTTACATCTCCAAATAAAAAGAGCCAAACAAGCCAACAGCAGAAAGTGGACAGGAAAGGGGAAAAATTCTGTTATGTTACTTTACCAAAGAGTATAAATAAGCACATGTAAAGATGCTCCATCACTGTGATTGGGGAAAAGCAAGTTAAAACCATACGAAGATTCAGCTACTACCTACTAAGAACAAAATGGCTAAAATAAAATGGAAAGGCAGTACCAAATGTTGGTGAGGATATGGAGCAACTAAAACTCCTAGACACTGCTGGTAGGAATGTGAACTGGCACAACCACTTTGGAAAACAGTTGGGTAGTTTCTTTAAAAGTTAGACAAGTGCTTACCATATGCCCCAGAATTTCCATTCCTAGGTGAAATGAAGCATATGTCCTCACAAAGAAGGATGCATAAATGCTCGTAGCAGCTCTGTACATGAGAGCCAAACACTAGAAAAAACCCAAATGATCATCAGCAGATGAGTGGATAAACAAATTGTAATACTGTATCTTAATTCAATGGCATACTACTTAGGAATAAAAAAGAATGAACAATTGATATATGCTACAACTTGGAAGAATTTCAAAATATTATGCAGAGTGAAAGGAGCCAGATGAAAGAAGATGATACACTGTGTGATTCCATTTGTATAAAATTCTAGAAAATGCAAACTAATCTACAGTGAGAGCAGATCCATGGTTGCCTAGAGAGAGGTGTAGAGTCGGGAGGAGAAGGAGAGAGGAATTACAAAGTAGCACAAGGAAACCTGGCAGTGATCAAAATGTTCATTATCTTGATGGGGGTGATGGTTTCATAGATTATACATATATAAAAAGTCATCTACGTGTAACACTTTTTTTGCAATAGGGTCTCTGTCATCTTGGCTGGAGTGCGGTGGAGTGATCATAGCTCATGGTAGCCTTAAACTCATGGGTTCAAAGGATCCTCCCACCTCAGCCTCCCAAAGTACTAAGATTATAGGCATGAGCAACTGTCCCAGGCTCAAAGTGCACTCTTCAGGTATAAACAGTTTATTGTGTGTCTGTTACCTCAAAATGAAAAAAGCTATATAAGAAATCTGTTGAGAACTTTAAAATAAAAGAAGCTGTTCATGAGGCTGCCTACTTGTAGTCCCAGCTACGCAGGAGGGTGAGGTAGGAGGATTGTTTGAGCCCAGGAGTTTGAGGCTATAGTGAGTTATTATCTGTGAGTAGCCACTGCACTCAAGCCTGGGCAATACAGTGAGACTCCCATCTCTAAAAACAAAAAAAGAAAGAAGAGAAGAGAACCTATGAGAAGAGAAGAGAATGCTATGGCAACTGGGATATAGAATAAAGTGATGGCAAGATTGGGTGAAATTAATCCAGGTGAATCTCCTCATCTAATCCCTGAAGGATATAATGGATAAGGTTAAGAGAAGAGAAAAGGGACCCCTGGGTGGGGACTTCAGATGTTAAGCTGGAGATTACTACTTAGCTGTGCCAAGGCCAGCATTCCTCATCCTGCAGTATGGCAGAGTGCCCAGGGGGATGTGTTTTGTGACTCAACAGGAGACATGGGCACCAAGTGCTGCTATAATAGAACTTTAACATAACCAGACTTATCCTCTTAGTGCCTCTTAATTCTCTGCCAGGCCGGGCATGGTAGCTCACACCTGTAATCCTAGTACTCTGGGAGGCCAAGGCAGGTGGATTGCTTGAGCTCACGAGTCCCAGACCAGCCTGAGCAAAAGGGAGAACCCGTCTATACTAAAAATAGAAAAACTGAGGCAAGAGGATTGCTTGAGCCCAAGAGTTGGAGGTTGCTGTGAGCTATGATGCCATAGCACTCTACCTAGGGCAATAGCTTGAGACTCCGTCTCAAAAAAAAAAAAAATTCTCCTCTGTCACCTTGGGACTCAACTCTGCACCTGGGGTTCTCCACAAGATCCTACCTACCTTAGCCAGCTGAGCTTTTCTAAGCCTCAGTAGCTCCACCTGTACAATGGAGATAATTCATACGTATCTGGCTTTCACTTTTGAGACAAAATGTCTCCTTTTGATAGGATTGGTCTGGATTATTCTTGAGCAAACAACAAAAATCAACTCTGGCTCCTTTAAGTTTAAAAAAAAAAGGGATGCTGGATTATCTTTCTTTGACTCTAATGAAAAAATTTAACAAAGCTTCCAGAAAAGCAAGTTCCAGCACAGCCCTACAGGTCTGTCTCAGTGGCAGGGGCTGCTCTGCCATCAGCATGACTCAAACCTCCAGCAGCTCCCAGTCTCTGTCACTCTAAAATTCCAGACGGCAAGAGAGAACCTGATTGTCCTAGACTGGGTCTGTTCTCCACCCCTGCATCAGTCACATATGTCTGGGGGTAGATCATATAGTAATGGTATAACTTCTGGGTGTCCCTCCCTGTGTGTTGGTGGCATTCCCAGAGAGAAGGGGTGATCGCTGGGATCTGGGTGGTCACCTAAAGAGGTTCCTATTACACAAGTACTTTACAGACAAAAAAAATAATTTTTCACTTCTGAATTCTCTGTAAGTGGCTAGCATAATTGCAAACAAATAATAATCCTTTAATACACAATTGATTAAAAAATGAAGGAGATTATCCTGGCAGAAGTAAATCGAGTGGATTGAAGTCAAAGGGGATCATAGGCCTGAGGGTTTGTTAAGAGGCATAGCCTTCAATGGACAGGTGAGGAAAATGGCTCTAGGAATGGAGAGTCCCAGAAATTGTGTGGAGCAGAGAGTGGCTATTACTGTAATTGATAGGGTGTAGGGCTTGAACAAAAGAAAAAAGAGTCATAAATCACTTCTTTAATGAGCCCCAGGAAAGGGCACCGAAAGGATGTCCTTTGAACGGGGTTGACAATGACCTTACCCCATACTTTGCCCTGTATAATATGCTCCCATGTAAAATATGTACTCACATTTTTGGCTTAAACTTTCAGGGAAAAATGGGTTTTTGTTTTATTTTTTTAATTCACATTTTATTTGTTTATATTTAGGTACTTGCTTTTTGTATTATAAAGGAATTTTAGCATTTCTTTTTTAACATATTATGGTACAAGAAATTTTATGCAACAAATAATTACAAAACACAAGAAGGTTTATATATGTGGCTTGGCACTTGTAGCTCAGTGGTTTGGGCGCTGGCCACATATACTGAGGTGGGTGGGTTCAAACCAGACTTGTCCTTAGTGCCTCTTAATTAGTGCCCAGGCCTGCTAAACAACAGTGACAACTGCAACAAAAAAATAGTCAGGCATTGTGGCAGGTGCCTGTAGTCCCAGCTACTTGGGAGGCTGAGGCAAGAGAATCAGTTAAGCCCAAGAGTTTGAGGTTGCTGTGAGCTGTGACACCAGAGCACTCTACTGAAAGCGACATAGTGAAACTATGTCTCAAAAAAAAAAAAAGAATGCTTATGTAGATATGGAATTACTAGCACCCATGTATAATGCACATCCTTATTTTTCCCTCAAAAATCCAGACAAAAGTGTGCATTATACATGACAAAATACGGTACTTGTTAACAGCAAACGCTAGGCCATTTTAGTGGCAGTGCCCTTGAGATAATTAGATGAGGTGCAGTAGAGTCTTGGGAGAGCTGTCAGGGCTGAAGACAGTCTTAAGATTTGTCCTTTCCAGACTATAAAGCCCATAAAAATAAATGAGCTCTTTGGGGAAGTAAGTGAGAGAAGCAGCCCACCAGCAAGGTCCAGGTCAGACTAGAGTTGGAAAGTGAGAAGAGTGTCGCAACCTTTTGGGCCCTTGTGGCTCTGGACTTGATCACCGCAGGAAGGAACCAGGTATGACATGGATTAGAAGTACAAGCTTGTAGAAGGCGGGCTTGCCTTCTTAGCAGGGGAGCTCCAAGCCACCTCCCCACTAGCCTTTTATTGAGACCATACAACACAAGTGACGGAAGTAATTAACAAATGACTAGATGTGAGGAATGGCCCAAGGGCCCACCCCTCAGCTACAGATCCTCTTGCTTAGGGGTCATCTCACTCTTGGCTTCCCCTGCAGAAGAGAAAATTAGAGAGGGGCAAGAAGGGGAATCTGGTGATATGTATTGACAATTACTGCCTCCTGAGTTCCTTAGTGAGGTCTTTTTGGTGGCAAGTAAGAGAAATCCACTAGAGGCAGCTGAACCACCAAAGGAGGAGCCTGCCCCAGGAAGGAGATTTCTCTAGAAAATAAAAAGCTTCCACAAACTCAGGGAGAACGTCTTCTCCTATGTATGGATTTCCAATTCTCTCTCTCTCCTCTCCCTCCCCCAAATTGGCCAACCCTGTTACCTTGTCCAGAGGGATCAGTGCCCCCCAATTCTAAATGTCCTCCTTTTTGGAAGTCTAGCCAGACTGAGATTAAAGTGCTTTGTCCTGATTCCTGAGAGCATCCAGTTGGCCTTGGTATCTGCTCCTGGACAAATGAGCTGTGGCCAGTAGGACAGAGTGACTTGGCAGACACATGGCTCTGAGATGCCCATTCCTGTGGACTGGGGGCAGTTCCCAGAGAGGCTTCCACAGAAGCCATTTCCATCTGCTCCTGACATTAACTGCCTGAGAAATGTCTCATTCACTTGTGCAGATCAGGCACTCAGGCAGTTAAATACATGTTCCGGGTCACACAGCGACTAAGTGAGTAAGCGGCAGAGCCAGTGCTCACCCCAGAGACTGCCCAGCTCCAAAGCCCCTGTTTTTCCCTCTGTGCCACTGCACATTTTCCAAGCAGCTTTCCTTCTGCCAGTTTATAATTTGGAAATTTACTCCTTTTCCAGAACAAATAATTCAGAATATTAAACATGGGAAGTTGAGATGAGTAGTTAAGTAGAAAGAGGTTAGAATGCCTAAACTACAGATAATAACTGGTAACATTAATAAAAATAATGATTAATAGGCCAGGCAAGGTGGCTTACACCTGTGATCCTAGCATGTTGGGAGGCTGAGACAGGTGGATTGCTTGAGGTCAGGAGTTTGAGACCAGCCTAAGCAAGAGTAAGACCCCGTCTCTACTAAAAAACTAGAAAAACAAACAAAAACAGCTACTCAGAAGGCTGAGGCAAGCAAGAGGATTGCTTGAGCCCAAGAGTTTGAGGTTGCTATGAGCTATGACGCCGTAGCACTCTACCTAGGTTGACAGTGAGTCTCTGTCTAAAAAAAAAAAAAAAAAGAGTAATAGATGCTAACAATTAAGGAGGGCTAGTAGGTATTATGAATTAGCTCGTTTAGTACTCACAGCTGGTCCATGAGGTAAGTAGTACTGTTACCTGGTTTCACAGATGAAGAAACTGAGTTACAAGGAGGCTAAATAACTTGTGTCAGTTCAATCTGCTAGTAAGAGGCAGAGCCAGGGTCTGGGATCTGGCTCAAGAGAATAAACCCAGAGCTCTGCCATTGTCCTGCAGCCAGTCCTGTGGAGATCTTGCTTTTGTTCTTGAAGGCCACCCACCTTGCTGATCACCTGTGGCCTAATGAATGGGCACATTCTTTTTTTTTTTTGGAGACAGAGTCTCAAGCTGTTGCCCTGGGTATAGTGCCACGGCGTCATCATAGCTCACAGCAACCTTCAACTACTGGGTGCAAAAGATTCTCTTGCCTGAGCCTTCCACCTACCTGGGACTACAGGTGCCCACCACAATGCCGGGCTATATTTTGGTTGTAGTTGTCATTGTTGTTTGGCAGGCTGAGGCTGGATTCGAACCCACCAGCTCAGGTGTATGTGGCTTGTGCCCTAGCCACTGAGCTACCGGCACCGAGCCAAGTGGGCATATTACTAACTCTGTCAGGTTCTTTTCTTCTCTTTGCAGGTACTGATGCAGGAGGAACCCCCGAATTCTCTATTAAACCCTGTGCGCCAGGAAGTCTTTGTCACCATTGCTGATCTCAGGTGACATGCTCTTTCCACATGCATCCTTGTTCTTCATTCAGGGCTAAGGCCAGAGCCAACTGACATGTTCCTTATTTTTTTTTTTTTTTTTTTTTTTTTTTTTTTTTTTTTTTTTTTTTTTTTTTTGAGACAGAGCCTCAAGCTGTCCCCCTGGGTAGAGTGCCATGGCCTCACAGCTCACAGCAACCTCCAACTCCTGGGCTCAAGCGAGTCTCCTGCCTCCACCTCCCAAGTAGCTGGGACCACAAGCACCTGCCACAACGCCCGGCTATTTTTTGGTTGCAGCCGTCATTGTTGTTTGGCGGGTCCAGGCTGGGGATTCGAACCCGCCACCTTAGGTGTACGTGGCTGGCGCCTTAGCCGGTTGAGCTATAGGCGCCGAGCCAATTTTATTTATTTTTTAATTTTTTTTATTTTTTTTGGTCTGTTTGTTTGTATTTTGCAATTTTTGGCCGGGGCTGGGTTTGAACCCGCCACCTCCAGCATATGGAGTCAGCGCCCTACTCCTTTGAGCCACAGGTGCCGCCCATGTTCCTTATTTTTAATTTTTGAAAGCTATGTGGATAGAGAAAGGGAAGCCAAATCCACGTTTTTGAGAACGAATTTTGATTTCGTGTATGCTTCCATGCATACCTGAAAGACTATTGGAACATCTTTGGAGTTCAGTTTTGTCCAAAATATATTCAGTGCCGGGTTACCCATATATGTTCCGAGGTCTATTTGGAAGGGCTGCCTACTGTTTACCTCTCTTGGAGATTTGTACTGCAGTGATTAAATGGATGACAGGTCTTGAGAAGTCCTGTAGTTAAGAAGTTTTTAACTTGATTCATCCCTTTGTTCCCCCAGACTACTGTTCAGCAGAGCACACTTTGGGAAACTGTGGCTTATTGTGTTAGACTGTAACAGGCTTCCCTCTGGGGTAGAACTGAAGAAAAGCTTGGAAGGATATTGCTCTGGTGATGTCTTGGGAGAGGGTCCCTTTAACCTTATGCGAGAATTATGTAAACAGACTGATAAGCCATTTCTCTCTTGCATAGAATGATACATGAGCCAGTTTACCTTTCCCCTTTTTTGTTACTTTGATTCCTGTTTATCAATATCAAGTTGAAGCCTTGTCCCAGCTTGCTATTACCAAACTGTCTTTTCTCAGTTACCAAGATGTGCATTTGCTGTTTGGCTCTGAAGATCGAACTGAGTTGTTCAGTTTTATCACCAAAAGTGTAATCGCTCTGCCTTCTGTAAGGAATCTTCTCCAGCCACAGGAAGTCATGCCAAGTGAGCCTTACAGCTCAGAGGTAACTCATGCTTTAGTAACTTGCCATCCACAGGGTCTGCTGATTTTGGTCTTTAGAGGGCGCATTTGATTCTTTGAAACTAGCCCAAACGTTTAAGCCAAGTCTGGGGAACAAAATAGGTGGTTAAATTAGAAGATAGCTTTTTTCTCCTTCATTACTTCATTTTTTCCTTTCAGCTTTAGAATTAAGGTAGGAGTATTCACTCATATACTTAAGGGACAGCAGTGCTAAGCACTCTGACAGGCAGCAGGAATACAGCAGTCCAGTCTCTCTCACAGAGCTTACCTTCTAGGGCAGAGAGACAAACTGCTGATAAATAAAATCTGTCAGCTGGTAATAAACATTATGAGAAAAAAAGCAGGGAAAGAGGAGGATAAAGAATACTATGGGCCGCGCAAAACTGCTCACGTCGGGAATCCTAGCACTTAGGGAAGCCAAGGCAGGGAGGTTCACCTCAGGCCAGGAGTCAAGACAGACCAGCCTGGGCAACCTAGTGAGAACCTGTCTCTACAAAAAAATAGCCAAATGTGTTAGTACCTACCTGTAGTCCCAGCTACTCAGGAGGCTGAAGCAAGAGAATCACTTGACCCCAGGAGTTTGAGGTTGCCGTGAGGTATGATCATACCACTGTACTCCTGCCTGGGCAATAGAGCAAGACCCTTGCTCTAACAACAACAAAAATAGTACTGTGTGTGGTGGGAGGCACATGGGTGGTCAGGCAAAGCCTTCTTGACGGGGGGATAGTTGAAAGAAGAGAGAGGGTATGGGTATGTCTGAAGGTGAAGCTTTCAAGCTGAGGGAAGGGTAGGTACAAAGGCCCTGATCTATTCTTCAGCAGCTAGTAAACTGGCTGGTAAAGCACTTACCCAAGAGAACTTTATTCTCCTCTGTTTCAAGATGTCAGAAAGAGTATCTTGATGACCATTAAGTAATTCCCCAGATGTATTAAGATTCAGTTAACTGTGATCCCGGTGATGCCACGGAGTAAATTTGAAATGAAGATGTACTCTCCTTCACCTGATGCTGCATGCTGTCCACCAGGACTTTGGTACTGGTTCTGCAACCTTGAGTAAAGACTCAAGATGATGAGAAGAGCTTCCAAAATTACAGTGCTGGGGGAGCTTCATGTTGGGGGAGCATCACTGATCCTGTGCCTTCTCAGTGTCTCTACAGGCAGACATTCCAGGCATTCTCCGAGATGCTCCAGAGTTTGGTGGTAAAAGACCCACATTTGGAAAATCTTGACACCATTTGTAAGGTAAACAGGATATCAGGGGGAAATGGAAAACTATTTCTATTAACTGGTGAGAGTGGAAGACAAAAATGTGGAAGGCTTAAGTTGTAGGAGGCAACATAGTATTTAAGAGTACACATATTAGCTATCAGCTTTGAGTCAGAGACCTGGGTTCCAGTTCTGACTCTACCATTTATTGATTATAAGTCCTGCTGTAGGCTCGGCACTCATAGCACAGTGGTTAAAGTACCAGCCACATATACTAAAGGTGGCAGGTTCTAGCCAGCCCAGGCCAGCTAAACAACAGCTAAACAACTGCAACAAAAAATGGCTGGGCATTGTGGCAGGTGCTTGTAGTCAGTCCCAGCTATTTGGGAGGCTGAGGCAGGAGAATCACTTAAGCCCAAGAGTTTGAGGTTGCTGTGAGCTGTGACGCCACAGCACTGTACCAAGGGCAACATAGTGAGACTCTGTCTCAAAAAAAAAAAAGTCCTGCTGTAAATTCTGCAAGGAATTTGCTTTCTCAAAGTCTCATTTCTTCACCTTTACATGGAGATAATAACTACTGTATCAGATAAATAGCCTTCAATAAATGGTTTAAATGGTTTCTATAACTATTCCTTAATTAATTCCTTATTAATCCTTACTAGCATAGAAAGGTTTTAATTGAACAGAGCCCTACGAGTTAGTGAATAAGAAGCTTCCTAACAGGTGGAACTCAAAGGTCAATGACCACCTGCCCTAACCGTACCTGTTCCAGTATATGCCACTCCATCATCAGGCACTAATTCACTGGAGTGCATTCTCTGCAGTTCAAGCATCTTGCTCTCTTGCCCTTTTTAAAGTTGTGGCTATTCCAGAAAGGGGATAACACTTTAAACTATTATTAATCATTTGCACCTAAGTACAGATCGGCCTTTATTCTTATCAGAAGGATTTCTCCCTTTTATCCAGTTGTACTTGGTACTTTCCTGCCGTGGCAGCTTAAATCAAGCCATTTCTTCTACCTGAAATGCCACTTCTTTATGCACACCCACTCATGGATTCATTGCTCCCTGACTGTTCCAGTTGTTACAATTTCTCCATCCTCAGAGTTCTTTAATAGCATGTTATTAGCTTTATTTCTTTCCAGAGCAGATTTGAAAGGACTAAAAACATATAGAAAAATAAAATAATTGAAGAAATTGGGATAAAGGGAAAATAAATCTAGAAAATGGGCTCCCATAGCAGCCAAATCACCCAGCTGGCTACTAGGTCTTTATGCCTTTCTTGTCATCCCAGCACTTTGGTTTCTCACCCAAGCTGATGTATCACTATTTTCAGTCACATTTACAGTTCCATAGCAGTATGGAACTTCTCTCTCCATATTTTCTTCTAAACACAATAAAGGTCCCAAATCTTTCTGATAAATCATTTAGCTTCTCTTTATTTCTCACAGCACATGGACCCCTGGTTACAGTCAGTCAAAGACCATGAGCGGGAACGGGCCACAGCCAGCATGGCTCAAGTTCTGAAGTGCTTATCCAGACACCTCAGCCTGAAGGTGAGTAGGCCTCTGGGTGCAGAAGAGAAAGGACCCAAAGCCTTCCCACCACCGCCTGTTTTCCCTCCTAAAGTTTATCACTCCTGTGTCCCTTTGGTGTTCTTGTAATATCATACCACTTAGCACTATTTACATATCTGTCCTTTCGTAAATATGGGCAGCTTGAGGCCAGGTACTGTGTTGATTAATCTTTGCATCCCCCTTGTTTAGCTTGACAGCCGGGACATAGCATAGTAAATGTTTTTGAATGAATGAATGAATAATAAATGTAATCTGAAAATATCTGAGGGCCCACTGTGGCCTGGTCTCTGTATAGTGCTGTGTTTGAAGAAATAGAGTCCAGCAGGCAAATTTACATAAATCAATCTAATTATCTCCCAACATTTCAGAAAGAATGGTACTATGGTACCTCTTTTTCAATCCTTGCATTTCTCTCTTTCACTCTCTCACTTCTCAATTTTTCTGAATCCTCTACATAATTGCAAAAAAGAATTCCTCAAAGCTAATATTCTCCTTTCTGGACCTATTCTTTTTTTCATTTGTGAATTCTTCTTTCCCTTTCTCTGAGTAGGTTTTCTAGCCATGGGAGCTTCTTCTATTCTCCAGCCATCATTTCTCCAATCTGCGTAATAAGGCCTGGGAATTGGGGAAAAAAGTTGGAAGGGTGGGAATGCTGGGTCCTTATGTCAGAATTTTACTCAGAGAATTTGTTCTTGATACAAATACTTGTTCTAATAGTGAGGTTTAAAAGGACTGTATTCCACTAGCGTTCTTACTTCTCACATTGAAATACATCCCTTCTACCTTAGAGTGCCATGCTGTCATAGCTCACAGCAACCTCATTCTCTTAGGCTTAAGCAATCCCCTTGCATCAGCCTCCCAAGTAGCTGGGACTATAGGCACCCTCTACAACACCTGGCTAGTTTTTCTGTTTTTCATAGAGACAGGATCTCACTCTTACTCAGGCTGGTCTCAAACTCCTGTGCTCAAGCAATCTACCCACCGTGGCCTCCCAGAGTGTTACTGTACCCAGCCTATATCTCATCTTTTTTTGAGACAGAGGCTCACTTTGTAACTCTGGGTAGAGTGTCATGGTGTCACAACTCACAGCAACCTCAAACTCTTGGACTCAAGCAATTCTCTTGTCTCAGCCTCCCAAGTAGCTGGGACTACAGGTGCCTGCCACAACGCCCACCTGTTTTTTTTGTTGTTGTTGTTGCAGTTGTCATTGTCGGTTAGCTGGCCCTGGCTGGGTTTGAACCTGTCAACCTTGGTATATGTGGCTGGCACTGTAACCACTGTGCTATGGACGCCGAGCCTGCATTCATCTTTTTTACTTAACAAAACAGTAGGCTCGGCGCCTATAGCTCAACTGGCTAAGGCGCCAGCCACGTACACCTAAGGTGGCGGGTTCGAATCCCCAGCCCGGACCCGCCAAACAACAA